CTGGCTGGGGAATTCTGGGAGCTGAAGTCCACCCAGCTTGAAGTCCCCAAGGTTGAGAAACATTGGCTTAAAGACTTAACCAGCCAGAAAACAGATAAAGGCCAGCATATCCTCTTGGAAGTATCTGAATTATCATTTTTGGCAAGCAGAATATCTAGAACGATGACAACAATACCTATTATCACATTCAATAAGTGTGTAAGGAAGAAATCTGTGGGAAATGGCTGTTATTTGGACAAATGACTTCCTGGATAGGTAAATGTTCAAGTCAGGTAGAAATCCTGAAATTTTCTAGCTGCTCAAGGAGAAAGTAGGAAAATCATCCAAAGCTGTAAGACACTGCAAATTTCTCTGAGATTTAACTGGATTGGGACATCTTCAGTTCCTAAGAAGCCATGTCAATGAACTCCAGATTGGCAGAAGTTTTCCAGATTTGGAGAAAAGGGGGGAAAAAACCCCAACCCGGATGTTTATTTTTAACATGCTTGTGTTTTTTTTTTAATCAATGGAAAAATCTAAACGCCAGGGCCTGGGGAACATATTAAGGACAGCAAAAAGAGAGTCATGTTTATCAAAATGAATTTTATTCAGACCACTGCATTTCCCAGGGGGCATGCAGGCTGGAAGAACAAATGGAATTAAAACAGCAGGCCAGACCTAGAACTGGAACAAGAACCTTTCAATTTAAGCACAGCATCCTTTTTATCCCCACATCCACCCACCAGTAATTTTTTTTTTCTCCACAAAATCTGGATACAATATTCCTTTAAGAATAAAATCAAAAACTTGCTGAACAGCTTTAGGGAAAATCTAAAATCCTTTCCTTTCTCCATCACCTTCTTCTAAATGCTCCCGAGGAGGAGACATCGGGAGGTGCATCACACAAGACAGAAGAAACGGGGTGTGCGACAACACAACCCTCCAAGCCGACCCAGTGGTTAGGGGAGAAAGGGGTTTAAGACTCCATCTCAGGAGCCCCCAACTTGAACCATCCATCTGAAATGATGCCTCTGAAAACACATTTCTTCTCCTCCTCTTCTCCATCCATTTGCCAGCTGATCACAGCTTCTTTTCCCCACCCAGGTGACTTCCTTACTTTACTTCCGTCTCCGTGGGATCTCCAAGCCCAGAGGGACCTGATCTCTCAGAATCTACAGCAGATGGGTGACAAAAGCAATCCAAGCAATTAGAAGAGCAGAGACAACCCAGATTTTCTTGCCTTTCTACCCTCCCTGCTCAGGCTCCAGCCTCAGTTTCACCTGGATCAGGCGCCCACGATAAGCTTCCTCATCCTCTGCCGGTCCCTGGGGGAGCAGCTGAGCAGCAGTGAGGTGTCGCCGGCAGACGATCTCCACTTCTTGCAAGGTGTAGAGGACAGCGGGGTCCAGGGCCTGGCTGTTGATGAGGCTGACCAGGTACTCCTTGTAGTGCGCCCTGGTGTCAGGGAAGAGGGGACATCGATCAGTGCGATGCCCAGCTCTCCGGGCCCCTGCCAATCTGCATCATGGCTGCAGCTCCCCGTGCCTCCTAGAACCACCCTCTGCTTAAAATCTTTCTGGTCCCTGTGATCCTAGAATCAGAGTTGGAAGGGTCATGAAGTCCAACCCCTGCAACTGGAGAATTCATTACCCCATCCCTGATAGGACTACCCAGCCTCTACTGGAAATCCTCCAGCAAAGGGGAAGAAACCACTCCATGAAGTAACCCATGCCACCGATTGACAGCTCTTCCGGTCCAGTAGTTCTTCCTAATGTCTCGTCTGTGTCTACATCCTTGAAGTCTCATCCCATTTATTCTAGTCTTACCCTCTGGAGCAAGTGAGAATAAGTCCATATCCTCTACAGCAGTGTTTCTTAACCTTGGCAATTTTAAGATGTGTGGGCTTCAACTCCCAGAATTCCCCCCCCCGCCCGGCTTGCCGGGGGGATTCTGGGGGTTGGGCCCCCATCTTTAAAAATGCAAGGGTTATAAAAACAACCGGAGAGGGTTTTG